ATGATCAATAAGCTAACATTGGAAACATTTTACATATCTCCAGTCAAGGCAATGTGCTAAACATACACAAGACCCATACATGACAGGTGTTGTCAGCATGTTATCATGTGTGGGTGAGCTTCAGGAAACCTCACCTGATGATTTATAGCCAGGTAGTGGTTGTTAAGGGCAGGGACAGACATATTCTTCAATGGTGTACAAACTGGTAAGATGCCCATGGTCCAGTAAATAACCTTTCCCTCATCCCCTGCCCTTGTAAGCAGCCCTAATGACATTCATTGGGTCATAAAAAAAAAAAAAAAAAAAAAAAAAAAAAAAAAAAAGACATGAAATAGAAGGACTAGAAGGAAGAGGAAAGGGCTAGAGGGAGTACGAAGTGCACAGAAGATGGTTAACATGAAAGGTCATATTGAAATTCACATTATGCATAAGTATTATATGCTAATAGTATTTAGGAAAACTAAATCAATGGCTCATAAGGAAGAATATCCAAGGTTGACCTCTGGCTTCCAAATAGAGGGGCACCCACATGTACATACAAAAATAGATATAAAACCTGTATTGCAGGTCCAGTGAAATACCATAAGCATTTTAAAAAAAAGTCAGAGCAGGAGAAGACATACTTGCAGACACCCTCTCCTTCAGGGCTGCCATGGTCAAACCTGGTGTAGTTTATTTTTTGGTGCTGGAGGTGAGCACAGGAACTCAGGGATATTTACCATGACTTTGTAATGGCTACAGAAGCAGCACTAGGAATGGGTTAGGGAACTGTCACCCCAAGTCATCATGGGCATCCTGGTTTTGGTAATGGACTTTCGGCTATAGAATAAGACTCAGGACATGGACAAAAGCCATGTTCAAGCTTTTTTCCTCCAATGATGGGCTGTGTTGAAATTCTCACATTGAGAATATACCAAGACAGCTGGTCCCATCAGCACACTTGGGCCTTTGGATGATGACACCTTACTTTCTGTCCTGGTTAGTTCTTACAGAAGTTTGCTTTATATGCCATACATGTTCTCTGGCTCTGTTTGCCAGACAGTGTATCTCAAGACCCCTGACCACCTGGAGCTTCCCTTATCTGAGGTGAGCACAGGAACTCAGGGATATTTACCATGACTTTGTAATGGCTACAGAAGCATCGTGTACTGGATCTCGTTGATGATGGTTGTTCGGGCAGCCTCAATGCCTAGAGTTTTCTCCACCTGTGGAGAGCTAGGAGTGAGTGGAGACAGTTCCTTCTGGGAGCTACCCCAATCCTACTACTTCACCTGTCTGACAAGCACAAAGCAAACACTACTCTATTTCACAAAACAGACTGATGTGTAATTGTTGTGTTTGGAGAATAGAGAGCAAATGCCAGGGTCAGGAAACTGCTGGGTATTGGCTGTGGTGTCCAGATGCAACAGTACCTCATAGGTGTTATTGGAAGTGGTCCGGGTGCCTTTCACACCATGGGTGGCCATGACTGCCCGCAGATTGTCACCTTCTACTAGAAGCTTGAACTTCTCCTTTCCACTCTGCTCATCGATATGGATGACAGCTCTGGACACCTCTGGGATTCCTTGTACCACCACCTACATTCAACATAGATGCTGCAACCTCTAGGTCCCAACTGAGGGGCTCAGAAACAGGGCTATAAATGGGCTGGTCACCTAGTTCATGCAATTCTAAACCCCATTATCACCAGCAGTGTGTGTACTCCAAGAGTGTCTAGGTACTGCTTGGGGTTAAAGGAAAGATGGTTCAGAGGATTGTGCCCAATCTACATTCAGCTTGAAGAAAAGCAGAAAGGCATATTTGCAGTCTTAGAACTAAGTATAAAAGTTAGCTGAGGGCCCAGTGAATAAAGGAGCCTGCTACCATTCTGACAACCCGAGTTTGATCCATGGGGCCCACAAGGTAGAGTCAACTCCCACAAGCACACCATCCACTCCCCCATCTCCCAAATCAATTAATAAGAATCAGACTGGGGGCTGGAGAGATGGCTCAGAGGTTAAGAGCACCGGCTGCTCTTCCAGAGGTCCTGAGTTCAATCCCCAGCAACCACATAGTGGCTTACAACCATCCACTATGAGATCTGGTGCCCTCTTCTAGTGTGCAGATATACATGGTAATAAATAAATAAAATTTTTTTTAAAAAATACTAATCTGACTGACCCCATGGGCATATGGCCATGAAGAACTGGGGTGCCATCCTTGATCTCTGTAGTGAATTGCTCCCCAGGCCCACCTATGGCTGTCTCTCCACTGAAGATTTTTGCCTCACCTTGGGTAGGTCCTCTTTCAGAAACTGCAGCACATAATACATGGAGCTCTTGCTGTTTTCCCTGGGGGTGACACACACCACAGCCTCACCATGAACAGCCACATCGCCAGGCTTCACTCGGAGCTTGGATGTGCAGATGGAGTACCGCACTGTCTCAGCATTCACCTGCAAAGTGCCAGGGGATATTACCAACAGACACCTGCAGACTTCGGTGGCAATTGCTTTCATCCTTGATGTTATGATGGCTTTTTTTCCCCTCCCAATATCAGCGTTTCTCTGTGCAGCTCTGCCTGTCCTAGAACTCAATGTGTAGAACTCACTGTTTCCTCGCACTCAGAGATCTGCCTGCCTCTGTCTGCCTCAGAAGTCCTCGTAGGCATGTTTGTGCCACCTCTTCTATCACAAAATTTACCTTTATTTTGATTCATGTGTATGTGTGTTTGTCTGTGTGAATATATGTCACCTGTGTGTAGGTACACATGAAGCTAGGAAGAGGGTGTTAGATCTCTTAGAGTTGGAGGTCCAGCACCCACTGTGAGCCACTGTGAGTGCTGGAACATAACTTTTGTCTCCTGGAGAATAGAAAGTGCAATTAAC